AAGGCCCGATAGTCTCGATTCTTCCCTTACGTAACTATTGCTGCGCGCCAGGCGCTAAGGCTCCACCCTAAAAAATTCATAATCGCGCGTCAGAAATATTTTTAGCGCGACGTAGGACGTCGTTGTTCCTCAATCTGTGCGCTCTACAAAAATCTATAGAGATAAGATATTCTCGCGCGCTTATGTAAGAATAAGTTAGCGCCCGTAAATTTAGCCTCACTCGCCGGATTAACTCGTTATCCCCCTCCCCCTCCAATATGATAGACGTTACCTTATATTTACGGAAATGATCTTACGTATCCGGTAGAGAAGCGTCGAGCTCGCAAGACTCCACCGGTCGTGAATACACGGCGGTGCGCGCAGGATTCTACTTATCAATCTAGGATTAGTCTGCACCCTTGCACACAGGTTATCCCGAGGTAATGCTCTCGTAATGAACGTTACTCATCAGCATGCAGCGGTATTATCCTGGTAGGAATATCGCGGGCCATTAATATCTGCTTCCCGATACGCGGATTATGCGAGTTAACTATTAAAACGTGTTTGCATAACGGCGCGATGTGCGTGTAAACGTGAAACGCGTCTGCTAAACGGAACGCTCGTTTTTCTTCTTCCCGTTTTTTTTCGGCCTTAATGAAAAATGCACAAGCCGTAGCCTCATTATTTTTTTAACGGACCCGCACAATGCCCGACGAGCGCAGCTGTTGCGCCTCGCGCGTCGTCGATCTCTCCTTTCAACGATTCCCCGGGTTTGTTCGACAACCTGTCTGCCGGGTCGGCCCTTGATCTTCAATCGACGCGCATCCTTTCCGCACGTTTACATTTATAAAAACCGTATTCGAAGCGCCGTCTCCGATTACTGCGCGAGGGCGGCTAGTGAATGAGGCCTGCACGAGGGTGCCGCCGCGCGGGTACGTTGAATTATTTCGCGCGTGTGAACTTTTACGTCGTAACCGTGATCACGAATCCGCCGCATACGCGTGGGACTCGCGAGCAGGCAGATGCTATTATTGTCGCAGAGCGCAGCCCACAAAGGGCTGAATTCTTCGATGAAAGGTGACCTTTGTGCTATTATTACTTTTTATTTTCTCTTTTTATAAGGCTCCCGGTGGAGAGCGAGCTCCATTTAGTCGTTGCTTAATTTAACCCCGGGACCCGAGGGGAGTCCAGACTCGTCTCGTTACGATTGTTCCGGAGCCCGAGGATCCTATTGGGCCCGATTCTCCAATAGCGCCGCTGTCAGAGTCTCGGGATCCGCAGTCGGAGGATCGATCAATTCGTAGTTGCAGGCGGGAAAAAAAATTGGACGCGAGACCTGACCACGGTAGACTTTTGTTCTATCACACGCGCGAGTAGGCACGCGTTTTCATACGCAAAGAGCTCAACAGTTTTGCATTAATTAGCCATAATTAATTACAATGACAAATTATATTTACATATAGAGGAAAGTTTTCTATTGTGAGACAAGTGCCTAATATGAGATAGCGGGGTTGCTGCTAATTAACAGGCGTCATCTGTTGATTCCACCATGAATATTTATTACCCTCGGAGTGAAATCTAGTGGAAGACTTATTCTTAGATCGTGTAATTGTTGCAAAAATAGATTTGTGATTGGACGTGGGTGTTGAAAATCTGCTGTCTCATATTTAGAAGCCTATCTCACAATAGGGGACTTTCCTCCATAAATACAAAGTATTTGCGAGACTGCACCTACGCAAAGCGTTTTGCATTTGCGGTACAATCGGGTTACCTCGTTACGAGACTCCCAGGATTTTTGCAGATCATTGTTGAATAAATTTGATTTATTTCGTGCGCTGCGGAAGCCACCGACAAGACACGTCCACCGTTCAATCTCCTTCGAAACTCATTTACCAACGAGCCTGGATAAACATTTGTAAGATTACGAACATTCTCTCTTTACACGGGAACGAATAGCGAATTTTTACAACCCGTTACCTGAGCGTGTTATATAAAATTGTGTCTCGCGAGTCCCTCGCTATTCGCTTCAGTTGAAAGAATTAAATTGACAAAGCTACAAGGATCGCATTATTTCGAGCATCCGCGTTCAATCTGTCAGCCGACTCTTCCCCCTCGAACACTGGGGACGCGTCTCGCGTACATCAATCCGGGCTACACATCGCATCAATCGGTGTGAATGGAGGGCGTAGGCGACGCCCACGTGTAACCCACACATACGCCCGATCGACTTTCATTCACGGTATCTACCACGCTCCTGCGAAGTCTTACCCTAGCGTAATCACAAATGTGCCCAGACGTAGTAGACGTACGCATATATACGTGTATACGTAGAGGCGCGTTTGACGGCTGGCCGTCCACGTGCGACCATTACATCGTATCGAGTGGCTATTATTAGGGTACAACTCGCCACGACAGGACAGAATAACCGTGGACGGATCCGGTTTAAGAGGATCCTTCCGCCATCCTTTTTTACCGGCACAGTCAAGTATAGTTTTTGCGCTTGTAATTCTTTTTACTAGCTTTTATGCACAAAATAATACCAGGATAAGCTGCGGACCGCATAGCAGAACATTTTTACACTTAAAACACTCGGTTCAGAAGTCTAATAAAAAAGATGTTGATATTTAAAAGTTTCAATTCGTAGTTCTAACTTTTGAAATTGGCTTTGTAAAATTGCAAAATTCTTCCACACGATTAAAGTACGCATAAAGACAAAACGAGGGACAGTCGTACGTGAGGTTAGCTCACCTCAACCATTTATAAAGTGATATTTTTAATTTCTCTTCTTTTTCATATAGTCGACTGTATCTTTTGCACTTTTTGCATCTAGAACCGTCTATTTATGAAAACATTTAAGTAATATACAAATTACGTGGCTTTTGTGTACAAACCGACAGTGTTCCACTAATTGGACTAAATTAAAGAATCCATCAAGAAATCTATTCACTCGAATAAGTTATGGAACCTACAGCTTACTCTAGAGTCTAGTGAATAGATTTTTTACAGGGTTGAGATAGTTACTTTAAAAAGTATCTACTTACAGTTATAGTTTTTTCGCTGAAAAGTAACACGTTACAGTTATTAAAAAAGTAACGAATCGTTTTTTGCAGTTACTTTCTTATGTTATTACTTTCTTATAATAAAAATAAAAATGTCAAATCTGTATTTGAATTGTAAAGTGTTGATAAAGGCGTTTATGCGTAAAGGCAAGGACTAGGACTAATATTACTTTGGTCGTATGACAAATTTTTCAAACATTGGCTGCAAGGAAAATTCTCAAGTATCTAAAAATTCTCTAGCTCGTAGCCAATCGACACGCTTAAAACTTTTGTGTTACAACAAATTTTTTAAGTGTGCTGATTGGCTGCAAGATAGTAAACTTCTCGAGCATCTAGAAATTTTCTATTCAGCAACCAATCAACACGCTTAAAAAATTTGTCAGGTTAATGCGATCTGTGGAGGTTTAAAATATTAAGGTAGCTATTAACGTAGCTATTAAATTACTAGTTATCGAAAAATGTAACTGCGTTAAGTTACAGTTACAGATGAAGAGAAAGTAACGTCGAAGTTAAAATAGAGTAACTGTAACTTTGTTACAAGTAACGAGTTACATCTCAACCTTGATTTTTTGTTAGATTTCTAAACTTAATTTCAATGGTACCGTGCTGTTCTCTAATTCAATCCGATTAGTGGAACACTGTCGATCTGTACACAAAAGCGACATAATTTGTATATTACACAAATGTTCTCATGAATTGACGGTTCTAGATGTAAAAAGTGCAAAAGGTGCAGAATCACTCCAGCATCCCCTTTTGCATTTAAAACTGTCTGTTTTGTGGAAAGATTTGTGTAATACACAAATTAAATAGCACGTGTACAGATGATCGAAAGCAGCTTGCTATTCCGGCTAAATTAAAGAACAATATGACATCACTGAAACTAAGTTTGTAAGTCTAATAAAAATTAATAGTGAGCAACACAAATACCACATGTACTGTATGCGTGTGTTGCTCACTATTAATTTTTATTAGACTTACAAACTTAGTTTCAGTGATGTCATATTGTTCTTTCATTTAGCCGGAATAGCAAGCTGTTTTCGATCTGTACACGTAAGTCATTTAATTTGTATATTACACAAGTGTTTTCGCGAACTGATAGTTTCTAGGTTAGAAAGGTACAAAAGTGCAGAATCACTCCAGCATCCCCTTAAGTGGGATGCGCGTTTCCGGTCCCCCGGGCGGGTGCAACCGACCGATTGTGATCGCACGACCACGCGTTCCGCTCGCGGAACTCGGTTTTTTCAAAGCCGCGATTAATAATAACTCTTCCCCGATGTTGCCCCCCCGCGTGATGACACGTTAAACCGCATCGATCGCGCGCGATCTTTTTTTTGTCCGCTCGGATCGTCTCGCTCCCGGTTTGCCGTGACAACGCGCGACTCGCGTTTCGCCGGCGAATAAAATTTATCGCGATCGATTTCTACTAATCTCTCCAATTCAGCGGAAACTCGCTCGGCCGCGCCGCGAGTTGTACTTCGGTGCGCAACGCCGCGAAAAGTTATGGCTCTTATCTCTTATCGAAGTATGATGCATGGCTGGCCATATGTTGCGCGCGTTTATAATATAGTTTAACCATATAATACCGCCGCGAACACGCCGCGCGTGGCGAAGGAGAAACTGGCGCAAAACTAATATCGCATCGCCACCGCCGACGCTTAATCTTTTAACATCGTTCTTGTATCTCGTTATTTAATTGCGCGCGTAATGTCCGTCAGATATTCGCGCGCGGTCGTTTAGATTTCGGTAAACACCGAGTAGTTATATGTACAATAACATCAATACAAAGGGAAGAGCGCAGGTTAAGTTCGAGCATTAATAGGTTATCATAAATAATTATACAATTTGTTCACGTATGATGAAATGTTGATGAGGTAAAATATTGTGTCACGCTTCGATTTATACTTACATTAATCTTCATCAAGATATTAAGTGCGTTCCAGCAAGACTGCTACGGTAGCGCCACAGCTTTTTTTGCTACAATTGTAGCGGCGCCATATTATACTTACATTAGTGTGCATAACCTCAACATTTTATTTTAATTGTAAGAGTCTCGTTTGCCAATTAACTGAATCGAATAGAATAGAAAGTATTGAAGATTGGCTCATGAATGACATATTGTTCCTATAAGCAATCCTTGAGCAACTATGAAAAATGGCGACCGCTACAGTTGTAGCGGAAAGTTTTGCCGAAACGCACTCACTGTCTTGAGTTACAGCTATATTGGAGATAGTGCGTTCCAAAATAAAGGATGCTTGGATAGTAAAACTACTACAGTATACCTTTTTTCCGTATATTAATGTCTATATTAATATTTCGTATATTAGTGAATAATTGGAAATTCTGCGAAACTGCTGCTCAAACTCCTCTAGCGATCCTACGCGTCGAGCTTCTCGCTTACGATCTGCGAAAGCGCGTAACAGTCCTCCGTTTCAGCAGGCACCGTCTTTTAATTTATAGTAATCTGCACAAGTATTGTAGCTATGTTACAGTCGTTGCGCGAGAAATAACAATCACGTAGTTTCTTAAATGCGTTCCGGAAGACACTGCTACCATGGCGCTACAGCTTGTTTGCTACAATTGTAGTGGCGCCATACTTGCATTAGCGTGCATAACCTCAAAATTGTATTTTAATTGTAAAAGTCGCGTTCACCAATTAATTGAAACGAATAGAATGGCGAATACTGAAGATTGGCTCATGAACGACATATTGTTCCTAGCAATCCTCGAGCAATTATGAAAAATGGCGATCGCTGTACAGTTGTAGCGGAAAGTTTTGCCGAAACACACTCGCGTAGCGCTACCGTAGCACCACAGTAGCAGTGTCTTGTCGGGGCGCACTGAGTTAGTTTCTTAAACATTTTTAATGTTTAAGAAAGTTTTAATGACTTAAATGTCAGATTGTAATAAACTCAGCGAGAAATGACTTGTTGATCGAAATGATGCCGAATCGACATCAAAACCGTTAAATCGACATTTAACGTGACATCGAGCAACGAGTCATTTCTCGCTGGGAATGTGCACTACAGGCAGATAAACTGTAAAATTATCGAAACATTCGGAAAACACGTAATCGTGATTTACGATTTTTCTAGTGCTTACTCGGTCTGTATGCAACCATGACATACTTCTTTATGTCATTCTCCTGAACCGCCACCATACGGTATCTCGTGCAACGGTTGTAGCACAGCATGTAACAGACGCTTGGGAACGTGCGCTCGTTAAAATCGCGATTCCTGGCGCAAATTGTCCGATTACCATCATTATCACTGTCCTCCTCGTACATGGCCTGAGTAGTCGTCTCCTTTCCCAAACCGATCACTTTTTCCTCGTCGCAGTGCTCGCAATTGCACGCTACGTCCTCGACGCCCATCGCGAAAACGGGCACTGCGCACATGCAGCAATTATTACAGCGTCACAAGTTGCCGCTTACGGAAATGCCATGAAAATTACGTTACCGCCGTTCAATTATTCATTACACATTTATATGTGAAAAATTGATAAAGAATATCTCGCTTTTTGTTTTGCTCTAAAGTAAACGTTTATGTATACGTACGCAGTGCAATTACGATGTACAACGATCGCATGTCCGGTATCTAAATCGAGAAATGAGATAAAGCGCGGTATATGAGATGTTTGTCGAGTTGCAAAGTGTAATCGAAACTGAAGCTCGTTAAACGCTATACGACGATCGTCCGTCATTACAGTGCTGTAGCAGAAAAGCTTGTTTTAGACGAAATCGTAGAATACGTAGAATATTATCAAGATGCGCGTAGCTGTGTGCACGTTTTAACGAAAAAAAAAGTGTATTTTTGTGAACATTCTGTTGCTGCATAATTAATGTTAAGCACGATCGTATCTTGTGACAAACGCGAGTGTCACATGCTCTAACTCGGGAGCCGTAAGTGACGAGCACGTAACTGCTGATATATCGGGACCATCGGCACACTGACCTCTGATCTCCTCGGAAAGTAATTTAATATGCGTATACGGAGAGCAGCATCAATGTTAACGGCGCGGCGACGCGAGAGCAACGATTGTTATCGATTGTTTCCGCGTGCTGTAACGCAACGTGGATATTCGGTTACGTAATTGATTAAAGAATTACGTGCAACGTCACTTTAATTATACGCACCTTTTCTCACGGTTCTGTACTGTCGCGACACAGATGGAATCACGTGGCATCACGACAGAAGCTTCCGCGCGATTAGGGGCCGGTTGTTCCAACCTCGTGGTAAAGTTAAATTATATGTCTTCGTTTTTCCCTCAAATTAGACCAAAATCGAACATATGATTTAGCTATTATGGTTAGCTTATCAAGAGGTTGGAAGAAACAACCTTAAAGAAGTTGGTATATTACACCCGGAAAAAAGTCGATTTCTTCGAAATCAAACAAATTTTCTTTGAAATTTGACCTCACTATAAGACTTTTATTGAATTTCAAAGGAATGACTTCTTTACCTTAGCCAAAATTTTATCTGATTAAGGCCTGGTTTTTCTGGCTAACTGTTAACTAGAAGTTAGTCGATTCTCTTCTTAGATAATAATATAAAAAAAGATAGAGAGTCGACTAACCTCTGGTTAATAGTTAACCAGGACATGAAGAACTGGGCTGAAATCTCTAAGAGAATTCATATTTATTTCTGGAAATTTAGCAAATGTTTTAGTAGAAGCAAATGCAAATTTAGTAGATTCGAAGAAACGTGATTTCAATGTATCTCATTTGTTTAACCGAAATAAATCTTTTTTTCTAGGTGTACTTTAATATCGAGAAATATACAGGGTGAGTCTTTCCATATCCGACAAAATTTTTGAGAAAGCCGGCCTAAGACAACGATTTTTAATAATTAATTACTCGTTAACTATTATGAAAATTGCAAAATGGTACAGGACTTTTCCGTTCATCTCGATCCGTTCTACCTTCTCAAAAATTTTGTCGGATATGGAAAGACTCACCCTGTATATTCCGAGCTTGTATAAAAAAAATGAAAAGAGGTTGTTCTTAGCGAGAATTTTTTTTCCTCGCAAATTCCTTCAAACGCGTTTGTTTGGCGTGCTTTTGTTTTTCAATATTAAGCGTTTCTGTTACAAAAGCGCTATGGCTGTCGTCGTGTTCCACAGCGCTCTCAAGTTATCGCTTTTATGTTAATTACTCGCGGGTGGTAATACGCAGGGTAATGGACGAGTCGAATGAGAGACAGGTGGCCCTAAGCTTTTTTCTCCTGGCACTCGAAAGAAAGCAAAAAGAAAATAATGAATATTAAAGCTTCTCCACCGTGTATTTCTGCGAAATAACATCTGAATGTTTCTGCAATATTTAGCCGCGAATATTCGCTTCCGCGGAACTAATCAAAGGACACTAAATAAAGTAGGACACACGTTTGTTCAAAAATAGAAATAAGCACCAAAATGGCATCTGGTGTAATATTTATCCTACAACCTCCACACGGTTCGTTCGTAACGACGTATTTTCGATTGATCGAAGCTCCTTTCACGAATTGAAATAGATGTAACTCAACTGATTGAGTGCGTTCGCGCGAGAGGCGACCGGCGGACGTTTACAATACCGTGGGTCTGTGTGTATGTATGTATGTAATCTTTTAAGTACGAGCGTATACCGTTTGTGGATACCGCTCGCTGACACCTTAAATCTTGAAAGTTTATTGCCATGACAATAACCGCCAGCCGGCACAGCTAACAATTATATAATGTCCTGACTTATGGACTAATTTGCATTTTAATCCGACCGCCCATTGTTGCTCGCCATTGTCGTCGGAACGCGCGTGTCGTCTGCTTAAGATGGCAAAGTTCGAGAGGTTGAAACGAGGTCGGCGTCAATTTGTAAAACAATGGACGCAAGAAAACCAGACGGACGTTACGAGCGCGCGATATACAACTGTCCACTCGAAAATCAGTTGCGAAATAGCGTAAAAATTGTATGTAATTAATCAGAGGGCGCGTTGCCTCGTACCTCGCCTCCCCCTCACGGCATATATTAAGAGAACAATCAACGACGCGCTCACTTCGCTCGCACTTGAAGCCCTCTCCAGAATACAAAGGGCCAAATGAGTGGAAAGAAAAGCCGTTGCTCACGCGACGAATACTGGAAAAATATTCCAATTTACGAATGGGATAGTTGATATTTCTCCCCCGCTCCTCCTCCCCCTCTCTTTCTCTCTGTCTCGCGATCGGTTCTTGACTCTATTAAAGACGCGTCCAGACCAGATCCATTTGCCAACCTGTCCGGCGCGAGCAACCTGTCCGCACGCTAATTGGTAATCATTCACACCGATATCTCAACTTTTTAATTCAGCATACGAATGCGACAGCCGATACTTCCTATCGCGAGGGCCAACTCGTCAATTAACGCCCACCGTCCGTACTTTCTTCGGGGAAGAAACGGTTTTACTTGCGCGTGATCACTTTCGTCTACGACGATGCAATTCGCGAAAAATAAATGGAGGAAAGTTCCCCAATACGAGATAGCGGGGTTGCTGCTAAATTAATGGGCACCTTCTGTTGGTTCCACCATGAATTTATTGTCCTTGGAGTAAAATCTGTCTAGTGGAAAATTCATTCTCAAATCGTGCAATCGTTATGCGATTTGTGATTAAACTTAGACGTTGAAAACCCACGATTTAACATTAGAATCCTATCTCACGACAGAGGACTTTTCTCTATCCTTTTCTTCCCGTTGGATACGCGCGTACGCCAATTGTCCAGCGAGAAATGATCGCGGCCGTTGGTCCGAGGGCTGATTTAGAAACGATATTCGCGAATTCGTAGCGCACAAGTGGCGGGTTACGTAGGGGTTGATCAGAAGTAGCAGGGGGGGGGGGGAAGGGGGAGGACGACAGAAAATTGTCAATCAGTGCGACCCATCCGGACTTGATTACAGCCCCGCAATCGCGCTTATAGCCGGTCCCGAACCTCAAAATCGCCCGGCCGATTTTTTATGTCACAGTCGCGAGCGCCGGTTATTCGCCGAGTATCGGTTGTAAAATATTGTCCGCTGTGTCGTCCCTCCGCGCTCCGTGCGCGCCGCACGCGCGCGCGCACGGGTCTTTTATTATTTTATCCGCGCGCTGTTCCTTTAATTGCGTTATCGTGTACCATCTCCTATCGCGGAAAAAAATATGGAGCGCAAAGCAAATTCAGACATTCAGGATATTTCAAATTCGATCTACATGACGTCTCGCAACTGTCCGTCGGGTGGCCGATGATTCTGCATAAAAAAAAAAGGTATGTCGAGAATGTCGAGTAAAATTTTTCCTGCGAGGTTACCCTCTGTTTTTCGAGAGAGAGAGAGAGCGAGAGAGAGCGAGAGAGAGCGAGAGAGAGAGAGAGCGAGAGAGAGAGAGAGAGAGAGAGAGAGAGAGAGAGAGAGAGAGAGAGAGAGAGAGAGAGAGAGAGAGAGAGAGAGAGAGAGAGAGA